AAGAAAGAGTTTACAAATAAACACAGAGGAATGGGAGCACTGTGATGGGAGTAACCCAATAAACCTAAGCTCCCGGTGGCAAGGCAGAAAGGATAAACCAATGTTATCCTACAGGCCCTGTAAATGTTGACTATTGTTAGCACGGTATAAGAACAGTTCTCATACTTAGATCTGGGGATATAGCTCAGACATCCGCCCATTCTCCACATAATTGGATTTTGCTCTTTTAAAATTTGTATTCGTGTTGGATTTAATCTTTTATTAATTTTGGGGGGAGGTCCCACTTCCAGCAGAGCTGGGGACACTAATCCCAGAGATTTATTATGCAAGTCATGCTCTCAGGCCCTTTGAGTCATATTTCTGCCCCTTGGTTTTGGTATGTTAAAAGATTCATGGGCGCACATTCAGGATCATCTAAATATTCTTCTTACAATCTCCAAGTAGTATGTGTGTTTATGACCACATTAGTGCCAAGCAATTCAAATGTAATTATTCCCTAGCTAATGCAACAGACACAAGCCAAGTTAATCCACAGCAGCGTGTCTCTCCAGTAGAAAGACAAGTGACAGTGGGAAAGATGCTAAATAAAAGATCTGGCAGAAATTTGGACCCATAAAAGTGGTGAGAAAATTCAGTTATCACGTGGCACATGTGGTAAGCTGCACTTTAAATAATAAGATTCCTATTTGTTTTGTTGATTGATTTTTGGAAGAAGCACGCCCAGGAATGCTTAGGGTCACCCTCAACAGTGCTCAGGGCATGCTGTAATGCTGGGGATGGAAGCCAGGAACCCCACATACACTGCATGTGCTCCAGCCCTTTGAGCCTCTCTCAGCTCTTGACCTGGTTGCATCACTTGTATTTATAGTGATTGTGTTTCAGTCATACAAAAACCAAAAACTTAACTTTATTCCCAGATCACGATCATGACCATCCTGTTATTCGTCGATTGCCTCAAGCAGGCCCCAGTAATGTCTCATTCATCCTAGCTCTGAGATTTTTAAAAAAGTGCCATATTCAAGGCTCTTTCAGGGTTAGGAGAATGAGACCCATCATTGTTACTGGTATTTGGCATATTGGGTACGCCACGGGGAGTTTGCCAGACTCTGCCGTGTGGGCAGGTTACATTCCGTAGCCTGCCAGTTTGTCCAAAGTAGGAATGAGATAATAAGATGCTGCGTGGCCGCACGCTTCCAGGATCTGGGTTTTATAGACTCTGAGTCTTGGCCGTTGATGGGATTACACGGTGCCAGGGGGCCAGTTGGTGGGTGTGACCCCTGCCTACTGGAATTTGGAGGATCTGGGTGGAGGATGCTCTGCCCCGATCTGAGTAGGCTTGGAGATCTCAGCCCCGGGACCCGCATGCCTTTGTTCCTCTGCCAGTACCTTCATGTGTGCGGAGAGTGGTCTCAGCATGGTGGTGGCTGGTTCTGGAGGTCTTCGGCTGCCAGAGCCCTGGTCAGGGTGGGGAGGGAAGCCAGATACACATAATATATATTTAAATAACTTTACATGCTCAACGTTTATTAAAATAGTTTAAACTTGATCACTGTGGTCCATGAACACAGAGGTCGAAAAATAAAATATTCATGTTAAGTTTTCTGCCCATGCCTACTTTCCTATGAGATACTCAGCCAGTCAAATTTCCTCATTTCCCTCCATTTCTTCACAATAATAATCTCAACTACCTTTGATCATAGAAGAAATGAAGAAATGAATAAAAATGTGTTTGAATACTTTCCTAAGGGTAGTATGTTGTGAATGATAAAATTTGTCAAGAATCACGGTGTCATTTGGGCAATTCCACTGTGAAGGGAGTCACATTTCAACTTTATAAAGATGAGAGGTATATCATATTATCTCAGTTTCTTCCTATATAGCTAAGTAGAAGACATTTGGGTTTTTATTGGAATTTTAATAGACTTTTCCCCCACATTTTAAGAGTTATTTGATTTTCCATTAGCTTTTTCGAAAATTTACTGGTCTGAGAAATAATATATTTTACAGTCTACTTGTGGTCAATGAAGCAATTTTCAAGCAAACAAAAAAAGGGCTACAGAACAATTCTCCCATCTCTCAGAGATATTTTGATATATTGTATTTTGCCATGACAGGAAGATTAAAGTCTGACTTGAGTCTTTACTCTGTAAGTAATTGAATTGGCCACCACAAGTAAGTCTAATCACTTCTCCATTTGACAAGACTTTGGGAGTCAGGAGTGGCAGTGGGCAAGGGCTAACTCGTGGTTCTGTGCTCAGGGGTCATTTCTGGCAGAGTTCGGGGACCATACGGGGTCCTAGGGACTGAATCCATGTCAGCAGCAAGCAAAAAGTTCTACAAGCTGTACAATTGCTCTGGCCCTAACTTTGATAAGCTTTGAGAAACAGGTTCTGGGGACTATGTGGATTAAAGACAGACGCCACCCACTAATCAGTTTGGCAAATTGTTGAATGCCCATAAGCCTTAACTTATCTCTTTTATAAGCTCTGATAAGAATTGTAAACATCAGAGATACACTACAGAGATTTTAAAGGTACTTCTGGCTGAACCCCAGTACCATCCTGGCACAGCATATGGTCCCCTGAGCATTGACAAATGTGACCTTTGAGCACAGATCCAGAGGTAAGCCCTGAGCACAGTAGCGATTGGTCAAAAAAAATGAAATATAACATTTTATAAAAGCATACCATTTTTAAAAGTTGTAGAGCTATAAAAACTGGTACTTAGGGGGCTGGAGATCCAGCAGTAGGGTGCTTGCCTTGCATGCAGCCAACCTGGACTGGATTCCCAGAATCCTCTGTGGTCCCCAGAGCTCCACCAGGAGTGATTCCTGAGTGCAGAGATAGGGGTAACCCTTGAGCAAGATGGGTGTGATTCAAAAAAGAGCCAAAACAACTAGTACTTATAGAAAAAACTCCTTGAAAGCTAGCTATTATTAGTGTCATTTCCTTTCCCCTTCATCCTAAACTTATCCAGTTACAATCCTGAACATGAATGGTCACTGAAAACCTTGGGAATATACACATTCAATACCACCAGTTTCTAGTTTTGCTAAGTTTATCGTTACATTGCCTGGGTTGGCTTCCTCTGCTTTAAACTGAGACATAACCTATCCTACGGATTTCAAAGGGCTCTTGGTGAAGAGTTCAATACCAAATATTTGATATATACAAAAACACTTCCTTAAGTCTAAAGTACTCAGCTGAGGCTTTCTTTTTTCCCTTCTCCTTGACTTACACATTTGCAAGAGGCAAGGAAGTTGGAATCTTACTTCTGATCTGGTCACTAACAAACTGCACTGAAATCTCTGTATTCGTATAGGCTGCAGTCATATTTCAGGTAAGTATAGTAACATGACAAATGACCTGGCACCCGAGCTGCGCAGGAGGAAGAGAGCGGCTTGGAACGCCTTCAAGAACGTCGAAGAAATAGCTAAGAGGACGAAGAACCTCCGGCTCCGGGCACATCTCTTTGATTCCACTGTTCTTCCTGCATTAACATATGCCTCAGAGACCTGGGCCCTACGCAAACAAGATGAGAACGCCATTCAGGTCTCCCAAAGAAGAATAGAAAGAGCTATGCTTGGAATATCACGTTTCACTCAAATGAGAGAAAGAATCCGGAGTTCTGACATCCGTCGACGATCAAGGATCAGGGACGCTGTCTCATTTGCCAAGGTGTCGAAAATCAGATGGGCTGGTCACGTAATGAGATTTAAAGACGACCGTTGGACTAGAGCTGTTACTGATTGGATTCCACGGGATGTCAAAAGACCGCATGGCCGCCCACCTACCAGATGGTCAGACTTCTTCGTCAAGATCATGAACGATCGGTTTGAGGCCCTTCATGTTCCCGGAGCAAACAGATGCCATTGGGCTACACTAGCACGCGACAGGGACAAATGGAGACGTTACTGGCGCCCGCTCGAGCAAATCGACGACTAACGGGAAGTTAAGTGATTAAGTGATAGTAACAGGCTCCACTGATTGCGGACTTAAGCACGAAATTCTGAATTTCAACACCAAACTCTTACATCAGAACTCACAATTTTATGATTGACATTATAGCTGTTTAACAGATCAAAACACTAAGACTGGGGCTGGAGTGATAGCACAGTGGGTAGGGCATTTGCCTTGCACGCTGCCAACCCGGGTCGACCCGGGTTCGATTCCCAGCATCCCATATGGTCCCCTGAGCACCGCCAGGGGTAATTCCTGAGTGCAGAGCCAGGAGTAACCCCTGTGCATCACCAGGTGTGACCCAAAAAGCCAAAAAATAATAATAACAAAACACTAAGACTGAGAAGTTAAAGCCTGCCGCCCAGTGCCACAGTGCTGATAGTGTGTGTGTGTGTGTGTGTATGTGTGTGTGTGTGTGCGTGTCCGCGCGCTTTGTTTTATTTTTGTTTTCAGGAGCACTCCGGGGGCTTGGTGCTCTGGTTGCACCCGGCAGAGCTCTTGGAGACTTAGGCGCAGTGTAGACCTAAGGTCTAACAGGGCACCCTGCATGCAAAGCATAGGTTGCTGCTGCACTTGCAAAACCTGTGCAGTGCGGAGATTTTAAAAGCATGTTGCTAAACAGCAACTTTAGAGAAAACTGTCGTCAGTCACTAAGAGTTTTCCTCAATCTCCCTTACCCGCAACTCTGAATAGAGTCGCTTTAGCAGCGTCCGCTAAATCACTATAAATATACACAGGGCAGCGGCTCGCAGGTCTCCAAGGCGCTTGGGCTCCGCCCCGCCCCCTTCATTCCCAGGCCCCGCCTTCGCCCCGCCTTCCGGGTCACCACCCAATCACGGCAGGCTCCGCCCCCCACCCTCGAGCGCAGACACCGGCACGTCCCCAGCCTGCAGTGCGCGCAGCCGGATGTTACGCACGCGTTCCCGGGGCGCCTGGATTTCCTGTCCAAGCGCGGCACTTCCGGCGCGGCCTACTGACCAATGAGATGGGCGTGGGGGCGGGCCTTAGCGCTCCCGGGGTTCCCGGGCCGCCCGGTGCTGTTGGAGCCGCGGGGTCGCGGCGCCCCGCGCGTCCCGGGTCATGGCAGCGTCTGGGAAGCTCAGCACTTTCCGCCTCCCGCCTTTGCCCACCATTCGAGAAATCATTAAGTTGTTCCGATTGCACGCCATGAAGCAGCTCTCCCAGAACTTCCTGCTGGACTTGAGGCTGACAGGTGTCTCGCTTTGCAGTGCTCGCCGGACGCCCCATCCGCGCCCCCAGGGGAGGACGTGGGCACCCCCGGAACCCGCCGTCGCGAGGCTTCCCACGCAGGAGCCCGGCGGGGTGGACCCGGGTGGCCGCGGGCTGGAGAAGGCGGCTCAGGACGCGCGCGGTGGCCCCGACTCGGGGTGGGGGGCGGTCACCCGGTGACCGGGCTGCGTGGCCAAGTAGGGCGTTAGCACGGCCCCTAGCGCGGTCAGGGTTAGGGGGTCGGAGGCTGTACCGGGGGGCTTGCACCGAGGAGCTCCGGGTGCTGCAGTGGCACCGAGCTCCGCCCTCCTGGAGCTTGTCAGCAAGTCCACGTGCCCGCAGCGCCTTCGCAGCCTTGTTCTGGGGGCATAAAGTTCATGTACAGTAAATCATCTTCATTATCTTCATCATTCCCTCCCCCCGGGCCGAAGAGCACAGCGTGCTGAATTTTCGTTTGGCCGCCACCCCGTAACGTTTCTGGGAATGAGGCGAAGTGGCCCCCCGGATAAGCTGGGGTAACACCCGCAGCTGGTCCACTGTCCACCACTCTTGTCCTCTTGGAGGCTTTGCTCTTTCGTTCTATTTGGATTCTTTCTCTAAAGCTGTAATGATAAATTAATCACGTCCCCAAACCTCATGTTCAAGATCTGAAGTTCAGTTCACAAAATGTGCGCATGTGTATGCACACACACACACACACACACACACACACACACACACACACACACACAGAGAGAGATGTATTATTCCATTGGACGTGGAGCCCTCCTGCCCACCAGAAACAGGCTTTGGATAAAACCACTTATCGCTGCTTCCTTCTCTGCTTGTGGCATGTAAAACATTACCACCTTGAAAATTCTCAGCAGAAAACAGGCGTTTCTGTGGTCACTTAGCTACATTGTAGACTCACTAGCTACATTATAAACACGATGCAAAATGTGAGTCTCTTCAGGTAGCTTTTCCTGGGCTGTGGGAGCCGTTTGGACTTGCAGAATTAGACTGGGGTGTCTCGGCCCTGGGATTTCCTCTTTGAGACTATCCTTAAGAGAGGAACTCCAAGTTCTCTTCCGGGAGAAGCTCTGGTAGGAGACCAGCAAGCAGGAATCCCAAGTAATTAAAATTAACTTCCCTTGGCCCTTCCTTCTTTGAATTCGAATTGCCTTCGAATGTGCCTAAAAAGTGTTAGTGAGGGCAGATAGGCCTTGCTGGCCTAGCTTTCACCTATAGATGTGAAACTGAGTCCTTAAAGCTGGGGCTAACTGTGTATCTGTTCAGGCTGTGATCTGGGGTAGCGGAAGCCTGGATGTTAGCTGGAGTCCTTCTGTCCACTTTGCTCTCTCTCTGGCATTGCATCTATAAAACAGACAAGCAGCCCCTTTCAGAGAAGTTAAATCCACCCAGTAGTTCCCAGTTATAGTGAGTGAAGAACTTGGGGAGGGTGGCAGGGAATGTTCAGTCTTCCCTGCACTCATTAAGACAAAAGGAAGGCACGGATGGTTCACTTTTTCCGCTGTTAAACCTACAAAGGTAAATTCTCAGTAACAACTCATAAAAGGGCCATCAGAACACTGCACAGAAGTACTGAAAGTTTTCGTTGCTGAATTCCCACTGCCCCTGGAGGTTCTGTTACTCAGATTTTAGTATTTCACAGCGATACCCATCCATCCATTATATATTTTACCGTGACTAGTGATTGGTTTCAATGAAGCCACAATCACCTGCTTTTCTATGATTTCTTACAGTCTATGAACATTAAAGAAGCGCATTTTAGAAACTAATTTTTCTATATGAATTTGCTTGCTTGCAATTAATCGTGATTAACTTTTTTCCCCCCTGAAAATGACAGATAACTGAAATTTCTTTTTATGTTTGTTTTGTTTCTTATTTTGTTTGGGGACCACACCCAGAGATGCTCACGGCTTACTCCTGGCCCTGTGTTTGGGTCACCACATGCAGTGCTGGGGATTGAACCAGGGTCAGTTGCTTTCAAGGCAAGCACTGTACCCCCTGTATTACTACTCATCCAAGCCTTAGAGTCTAGGAAATTACTTCAATTACTGTATTCGCTGCCAGCTAGCTAGTTTGTAGACAGCATGTTTTGCTTCTGGATTTTGAACTAGCATAACTGAAAATTCTGAATTGCCAAAGTAGTCTTATCTAGTGTCCAACAATTGTAGCAAGTGTCACTTGCTTATCTAGTGAGTTCTTAGAAATGAGTTGATTTGGTAAAAGAGTATTAGCCCTCTTTAGGAGCTTTGTCCTAATCATCCTGTTTTTGCTAAAGAACACGTACAGTTCATCCGGGGTGTGACTGAATATTGAGGGACCACTCTGTTGGGTTGGAACGAGAGATATTATATCTGTTATATCCAGAAGATGACTTGCTTAGCAACCAATGAGAATTTGTACCTGTCCTTTGTCTTTCTGGAGTGGCAACCCTTGAAATTTGCCAAGATAATTTCGATAACAAAAACTTTCTCTCGTGCAGATAAAATTGTGAAGAAAGCTGGCAATCTGACAAACGCTTATGTGTATGAAGTGGGTCCCGGCCCTGGTGGGATCACCAGATCCATTCTTAATGCCGGCGTGGCTGAGCTGCTGGTGGTTGAGAAGGACAGTCGGTTTATCCCTGGGTTACAGGTGAGTGACTCACGGAAAACAAACTCTCCTTTCTTTTGTGCAGGGGTGCTGGTGCCCCACAGCTCTGCTGGGCCCTGGGGCCAACACTTGGCCAGCCACAGGTTGCTTTGTAGTCTCCAGGGCCGTACAGAGCTGTGCACAAGGAACCCTGAGATGCTGGCATCCAGCCCCGGCGTAGACACCCTCCCCCTTCTAGTTATCTCCCTGGACAGATTTTCTTTATTTATTTAAGCCAAGGTAGCAAAAGTATCCTGCCCACATGGCAGAGTCTGGCAAACTCCCCGTGGCGTATTCAATATGCCAAAAACCAGTAACAATTATGGGTCTCATTCTCCTGACCCTGAAAGAGACTCAAATGTGGCACTTTTTAAAATCTCAGGGCTAGGACGAAGAAGATGTTATTGGGGCCTGCTCGAGGCAATCAATGAGCAATAGGAAGACAGTGATGCAGTGATACAGCATTGATTTGCAAGACTATGTTTTAGGGGTGCAGTATCACCCCTTTTCTAAAAATGTTGTCTTGCCATGCTCATTGCCAAAGCCCCAGTGTCCTCCCACCAGAGTCTGTGGAGCCCCGATCCCTTCAGTGTTCGCTGGTAACCTCCGTTCTGTGGTGGGAGTCCACAAAGCCCAGCTAAAATCTTGAGCCACGATTCCTAGCCAGTGTGGAGGTGATCCTTCAGATGTCCGCCCCAGCTCACAAGGGTTTTACTCCTAGTCTTCAGAGATCTAGGAAAGTGCATTTCTAGCACATTCTTTTGACCACAGAGTGAACAAGCCTGGTTTGTGTGTTTGTGTTTAACAGATTGTATTGTGTGAACTTGGTGTTTTGGTGGTGGTGGTGGTCGCCTCAGTGTTTAGCCTTCTGTGTGCTGCTTGTACCATAACCTATTTAAAAAGATGTTCGCAGGGAGCCATGAAAGATTAGAGTCATGGTTTGTTATTGGCATGACTTCTGAGAAGTTCGTTTCATTTTAGAAAATCATACCAGAACAGGGAAAGACATGCTTCCTTGAGCCTAATTGGTAAGCTTGGGCATTTGTGGGAGGGCGGTGTTTTATTTGAAGAAATGAAGTATGTAGAGATTTAAGAGGAATTTTGAATGAAATTGTAGCGCTGTAGCACTGTTCTCCCATTGTTCATCGATTTGCTTGAGCGGGCCCAGTAACATCTCCATTGTGAGACTTGTTACTGTGTTTGACATATCCAATACACCACGGGGTAGCTTGCCAGGCTTTGCCGTGTGGGCGAGATGAAATTGTATCATTAAAAAAGTAGGTGCTATTGAAGAATGAGAAATACTTGAAGGAAATAGAGAGGAGGCTTCTTTTCTTATGAAAATATGCCCCTCAAAAGTACGGCAGGTTGGGCACTTGCCTTGTATATGTAGAGCGAGTTTGATTCCCAATGCCCCATATGGTCCCCTGAGCAGAGCCAGAAGTAAGCCCAGACCAAAGAAAAAACAAGAAGAGGGAGAAGTATTTTTAGATCTCTTCTAAGAAAGAGTGGAAACAGAAGGAACTGAGGGAAGTTGATGTGGATTTAAACAGGAGGGACTTATATTTTTTAAATATTGTGAAATAGAACAGAGTATGTCAGCGCTCTTTGAAATCTACCTAGGGGGCCGCTAATGACTTAAGGCCTTTGATTTCTCTGTAATTCTGAAACTTTCTAAGAGCCCTTAGCCTGTGACTCAGATGAGGTGAGTCCAATGGAATAATACACTCTAATGCATTAGGATTATTGCTTTCATACAAGAGGGCCTCCTGGCATAAAATTAGTATTTTCTCACACCTGTGTATGAATTAAAAGGGGGAAAATGTTAATTTCTATCAGAACAGTTTGAGAAAATTTGAAATCTAGACATTTGGGTACCTGCAACTGTTTTTTTGGTTGTTTGAAACAGTGATTTTTTTTTCTTGTCTTTTGGTTATATACAGTTTTTGTGTTTTGAAAGCTTATATTATGTTTAGGTTTATTTGCTTTTGCCAGTAGATAGTGTGTGTGTGTGTGTGTGTGTGTGTGTGTGTGTGTGTGTTTATGTGTATTGAACTTAGATCTGTCAATAGACTATGTGTGTGTGTGTGTATGTATTGAACATAGGTCTGCCAGTAGATTTTTTTTTGTGTGTGTATGTGTGTGTATATGTGTGTGTGCATTGAACTTAGGTCTGCCAGTAGAGTTTGTGTGTGTGTGTGTGTATGTATATGTGTATTGAACTTAGGTCTGTCAGTAGATTGTGTATGTCTCTGTGTGTATGTGTATGTATTGAACTTAGGTCTGCCAGTAGATTGTGTGTGTGTGTATGTTTGTGTGTATGTGTGATTGTGTGTGATGCTGGGGATGGAACTCAGGTCTGCAAGGCTTGTTGCATTGTACTATCGACCCACGTGCCAGCCCTAGTTTGTGAACAGATTCGATTTCAGGTTATAGCTTTATTTTGGGATTGGTGTGTGGTACAGATTATCTGAGGGGAAAAAGCAGGGGAGGTGTTATTTCATAGTGACTTTCGCTGTTCTAAAAGTTGAGGGGGCCACACCCAGCGATGCTCAGGGGGTCATGCCAATGCTGTGAGCTGGAAGGCCCCCGTGAGGCAGGCAGGCCTCGGCGCTGTGAGCTCTCTCCTGATTTACACTGCTGCCTGTGTTTGCTCTAAGGTCTATGTCTGATAGTTGGGCAGAGCAGTGGGGATATTGTGACTTTAGGTGAGATCATGAGGTGATAAAAAGTAATGGAATATTCTGCGCATTCCCTTCCTATTTACTCATTGACCCCTGTGTGGATCAATCCTCATTTCACTCTTAGATTTCTTTTTTTTTTTTTTTTTGGAGAGTCACACCCGGTGATGCTCAAGGGTTACTCCTGGCTTTGCACTCAGGAATTACTCCTGGCAGTGCTCGGAATGCTGGGAAGCAAACCCGGGTTGGCCGCGTGCAAGGCAAACGTCCTACCCGCTGTGCTATTGCTCCAGCCCCCAGATTTCTTTTAAGATCAATCCTACCCTCTGTTTTAATTCTTTCCTGTTAGCATGTAGGGGAATCAGATTTCTTTTCATTACCATCTTGGTTTCTGGATTCTCTTTTCTGATCTCAGTGATAGATTTTTCTTTTTCTTTTCTTTTTTTTCCTTTTTGGGTCACACCCAGCGATGCACAGAAGTTACTCCTGGCTCATGCACTCAGGAATTACTCCTGGTGATGCTCGGGGGACCATATGGGATGCTGGGAATCGAACCTGGGTTGGCCACATGCAAGGCAAATGCCCTACCCGCTGTGCTATCGCTCCAGCCCCTATTCAGTTCTTTTTTAATTGAATCAGTTACAGAGCTGTTTATGACTGGGTTTCAATCTCACCATGTTCCAACACCATCCCGTCACTAGTACACATTTCCTACCACCAATGTCCCTAGTTTCCCTCCTGCAGCCTGCCACTATAATGAAAACTTCCTCCCCACCACGTCTTTCTTTTCTCTTTAGGCATCGTGGTTTGCAATACAGGCGCTGAAACATTATGTTATCATGTCTGTCCCTTTACTTCCTTTCAGCACTCAGTTCTTGTCCAGGGTGATCATTTCCAGCTGCCATGGCCATAGTGGTCCCTTCTCGGTCCTAACTGCCCCCCACCCCTCGCACCCCCCTCACACCCCTACACACACGCAGACTCATGGATCTGTCCTCCTTGCCCTTGTTTCTGCTGTCTTTGGGTATCCGTCTCATACTACGGTCCATTCCTTTTTGGGAAACAATACAGACATTCCTCAAAAAATGAAATTGAGCTTCTATACAACCCAGCAGTACCACTTCCGGGAATATCCCCCTGGGGGCCCAAAAACAACACGGAAAAGCCATCTGCACTTCGGTGTTCATTGCAGCATAGAACAGCATAGCTGTTCACAATAGCCAGAGTCTGGAAACAACCCAAACAGACGAGTGGACAAAGAATCTATGGCACACCCACGCAATGTCATACCACCAGCCACCAGGAAAAATGAAGGCATGAAGTTTGCTTATACGTCGATGGACATGGAGAGTATCATGCCGAGTGAAATGAGTCAGAGGAGAGGGACAGACGTAGAATGGCTGGACTCACTTGTGGGCTGTCAGCGATAGATCGTTGGAGACAGCTGATTTAGAAACAGCTGTTTCTCCTCCCAGCCGCCCTCCCCCATGGCCTGCATTTCGACCTCTGGCCTCTTTTTTTTTTTTTTTGTCTCATCAGTCTAATCACTGTCCCACATACTCTTAATTTCACACCTATCTGTCAGCCTCACACTCTGAATATAAGTGTCAGGAGGGGAAAACTCTGTTCCCTGCTAGCTGCCTCCCAACTAAGAGTACCTAGCACAGCGCAGGTGTTCAGTCATGTCTAGCTTGGGAAATAAGGTCGGTGATGTACCTGAGTGATGGGTTGACTAACTGTGTCACTTAATAGTGAAAGTGAGGGGCTGGAGCAACAGTACAGCAGGTAAGGCGCCTTACACGCGACCAACCCAGACCTGATTCCTGGCACCCCGTAAGGAGTGATTTCTGAGTGCAGGAGTGATTTCAAACCACCAGAACTGATTTCTGAGTGTGCAGCCAGGAACAACTTCTGAATAGCACTAGGTATGATCCAAAAACAAAAACAATAATAATAATGATGATGGAGGTGAATAATTCCATAGCATTGTCTATGGAAAATAATTCCATAGCATTGACTATGGAAAATAATTCCATAGCATTGGCTATGGAAAAAGTTTTTTCACTTATTTTTCTTAATCTGAAGACTGATTTTCAAGGTGCATTACTCCGTAGAAAATGTGTATTTGACTTCTCATCTGTTCAGAGGGAAAGGTAAAAATGAGCATTTAGGGTTTTGTATGTAGCACGGGAATTTGTCTGAAAAGAAAATGTTGCATACTAAAATGCCAAGCAGACTTCTTTTTTCTGTAAAGAATGTTTCAGTATGTAAAACCACCTTCTCTTAGAGGTACTGAATTAATCATAAAACCAAGTATCGGCA